TAGTTTATTCGTTTGTGAAATGAATTGAGGTTCTTTTGGTTGGGAGTTTTACACGAGTACCTGATATTATATAAATGAATAGCATCTATTATATCGGATATTATTAATTTCGCTGTGTTTTGGGTATATTTATTTTGCTCAGACTTTTCATTTGTTTAGCTGTAACTTCAAATTGAGACACTGCCGGTTCGATGCCCGAACTACCAACTTTGGGGAAATTTTGTGGAAATCTCCAAAGTGAAATAGCCATCCCCAAAGTTTGGAAAAACTCTGGAGAACATCCCCAAAACGTTCGTAGCGCATTTTTTCACAATAAATTTCATCTCCATATAATAAACAAGACTTAAAGTAGTGAATGTGAATAAATAAATTTACATTTTAATACAATATAGACTTTTGATCAGGAATAGTCTATCGAATTTCAGGTCTTGTTTTAATACGTCAAACAGACACGAGACAAAGAGTTGTCCGTTGTAAACCTCCTTTTCAAAATTCGAACGCTATGCAGGTGATTTTTTTACACTGTCGAAAACTTTGGGTGCTGTTTATGTTCAGTCTTACTTAAGTCAATTATTTCTTACAGAATAATAATAGACAGGTTGATAAGATTTCGAAAAGGCGGGCTCAAGCCTCAAAATACCTGAGGTTTTTCGGCTGTTCCCAAGCAACATATTACAGAACGTTGAGGAAGTTAAAAGCAGAGTTTATAAAAAAGTATCAGTTACCGAGCAGTGACGAAAAGACAGACAATTCAGTTGTCGTCACAGAATCACAGACTACCGCAGCTACAGAGCAGTGTGCTAATATATTGTCTCAGATATAGCTACTGCTTTATATAGTTACGTCCAGTGTTCAGACAACACAACCAGCGGTAGAATCTCTTTAATTAATAAAAATTTATAGGTTGTGTGATGTCAGAAATGTTTCCAGCCATCCATCTTTCAATGAAAGAACAGTTAGAATAGTCATTGGGATGATGAAAGTTGGTGACATAAGCATAAAGAAGGCTGACCAAATATTGGGCCTTTTTCGTGCGCGGTATCCAGAACTTCCAACCTCCGTCCGGAGTGTCCTACGTCGATGCAACGATGTGGAGCCTCGAATCTGGAACGTATTACTATTTGGGATTGAAATCAAGTTTACTGAGAATTGGTTACATGAAATCGATTTCACGGAATTAGACTTGCAGTTGAATTACGACGGTTTAAGCTTGTTTAAAAACTCTAACCAACAGCTCTGGCCCATCTTAGGTCGCATTGTAGCTCCATTAGTTAGTAGTGTATTCATGGTTGGGATCTACGGTGGTGAATTAAAACCATCTGATTTCAAAGACATGTCAGCAGCAATTATAACAGAGTTACAGGAGTTGCTGACAGTAGGTATTAATGTAGATAAGTATCAGCTATATTTAACAGTTAACTTAATTGTTGTTGTTTGTGACGCTCCAGCTCGCAGCAACGTCACGTACATTGTGGGACACAATTTTACCGCTGGCTGCGACAGATGTCAGGTTTTAGGGAGACGAATGGGTGGTCGGATGACTTTCCCCAATGTGGGAAGTAGACGAGCCAACTCGACATCGAGTGTTGTATTGGAAAATCTGAAATTATGGGTCGCATGACGATCTCAAGTGCTCGAACCCACGCCACTCAACCTCAATCTGGAATGATATGACTGAACTATGCAACATTCCCTATATACTAGTTCCAACTGATTAGCAACTCGACATAGAGTACACGATATCAAGTTATCTAGGTCAGTGGTCACATCGAAATTTCATAGGTCGAATCTAATCAGCCCTAAAAGACTAAGCAGATACCATATTAGTATGTACTGTTTTCAAACAGTTGTAAATCACCTGTCCCATCAAGGTTACGAAGCCACGATAACCCCGTGGAATTGTCTAAAACTGTACAGCTAAGTGAATTTGGGTCACCAATGTTTCTGAGATTGCAGGTATGCCTTGCTAATTAATAGCGACTGGCACGAAACAGGACCGGCGTTTCATATTGGATATCCTAAGGGTAGTCTAGTTGAATTACGGAATTCCTTTGAGTACGTAGGTTTCATACAAACATCGTAATCATCAAAAACAAGACTAATATCGACGCACGGAACGTAATTAATAACTTGTAGTCACGTGCGTTCATATATAAAAGAACAAACTACGATTACTGGGACTGTTATAATCGAGTAACTAGAATAAATATATTGGACGATCGGCTTCACATGAAAAGAAACAGATAGATAAAATAATCGTCGTCGGCGATATCAAACTTTCAAAATGCACGAAAGCGAGGGCCATAAAACAAATAATAAATAACAGGTATGAATAACCGCCGAAGACTACCATACCTTAGACCTAAAATATAGTTCGACCAGACGGTTCGATTTCTTAAATTAGTCTTACAAGTTAAAAAAAAATAATGAGAATAGACTGCAGTCTAATGACATAATGAGCTGCATCGTGTTCAAACTCCTCAAAATCAGTAGAACATTCAAGATATCCTCTGAAATTATAAGAGATTAATTTCTGAAAACAACGAAGATACACAAACTACCATAGAGTTCGCACAAAAATTGTAATTTACAGCGTCAGTATACACATTTCGCTTTTAAGCTAGGTACTATTTGACTTTTCCCAACCATCCTCGAAGTATGCATCAGAAAATGGAGAATTGCAGTGAGCATTTTACTTATAGAAGAGCGTATGTCAGATTTTGAACAATATTTTTGACTGTATCACATGATTTTCGTAACATAAAAACACTAACACTAAAGATTATCAATAACTTGTACGTCTGTGGAACACCGTTGTACTTATCACTGGCCAACAATAGTAGTGTTTCTTGACATTACGGTTGCCTTCGATTCGTTGGACAGGACTGCTCTCTATGATTGTCTATTGAAGAAGAGTGCGCCTGAGAAGTTGAATAACATCCTAAAAGCCCTACATACAAACACCCCAGGCAGAGTGAGGGCTAACAACTACCTCTCTCCACTATTCGATTCGATCAGTGGGGTTAGACAGGGTTGCCCAATCTCACCATTCCTCTTCAACCTTGCCATCGATGACAATCTGGAAACAGCTCTGATAGATGTAAGTAATGGCGGTGTGGGTCTGTTGCCTGGAGAAAGACTTCTCGACCTTGAGTATGCGGATGATATTGTCTTACTGTGCGGTGATGCCCAAGCCATGCAATCCGCACCATCTTGAGACATCGACTTCGGTGACTTGAACATGTACGAATGTCGTCCCAGAGAATTTCTCGTCGTGCATTATTCGCCGACTCTGGTACTGGTTGGAAAAAGCGGAGAGGTGGTCAGTGTATGACATGGTGTCGTGGTATGAGAGAAAGCTGCGAAGAGCTGGCTTCTGTTGGTCCTTCACGACACCCTGGCTGGGGTTCGAGAGATGGTACAACAGTGGCTAGAGACGTTATCAGAAATGGCTCACAATAGAAGCCAGTGGCGATCCTACTGTAACCTTCATAAAAAGGTGGTTGTAACTTCGTTAACTGAAAGAATTCTTCTGGTTGTACCTTTCCGTTTCCCTCATTATTATTATTACACTACCATACACTAATATGTGGTCGTTGTTTTGTATGGCGCATATATATCTGCTGCCGTCTTGTACCAATATTTATGTGTTCAAATTAATAAGTAAAGAAAATAATAATCTGTAGATGTAAAATTAGATAGTGACCTCTCAAAGTATGTACTACTTGCACGTGTCAGTTAGTGCTCTGGTAGTAATCATATGATGATGCATTTTGCTTTAAAGACCATGACGAATCATGAAATCTTATTGACTTATGAAAACTTGAAATACCCAAAGACATTTTCGCATACTTAACATTCACCTGAAAACACTAGTAGTAATTGGAAATTGTGAATTTTTTTTACTAAAGAAATATTGATGACAACTAAGCCATGAAGTATAGCCATCCTGGAAGATTGGAACTATTATCCGTAGAAATAAGTTCTTTCTGCAGTGAAATTTGGAGAAATAACGTGAGTGTGACATGTAGAGTAACTATGGCCGACCAGATAAGAGTGAGAGACTGGAAGTAATTTAAAGCCGAATATACCATTCAACATATCTATTTAGTTAATGAAACTAAAAAGGACCCAAATGATATGAGAAAGTGTATATCACTTTCAAGGCGATTGCAAAGCATCACACGAAAACCTAGTAGAATAAGAATAAATCCTTATAATATTTATTATCCCTAATACCTCAGTAAGGAGTGTTATGTCAGAAGATTAATTTATGGGTAACTTCCGGGAACTCTTCATAGACAGTTAATTATATATATATGGGGTTGTTAAGTTTTTTGATTGAGATCATGATTCGATTGATGTTAGACCACCACTAAAAACATGGAAGCACTGGGCGGTCGTTTCGTCCTAGTGTAGGACTCGTCAACAGTGCGCATCCACGATCTCGCTCGTGGGATCCGAACTCAGGACCTTCGGTCTCGCGCGCGAACGCTTAACTTCTAGACCACCGAACCGAAATCTGACGGCGTTAATGTCTAACTCCAACCAATCCACGAAACTGCGCGACTATCTTCCAATGTCTGAGGTAACTAACAGACACGGATTAGCTCCACCGATCGGGTACATCCGGCTGACGAATCCCAAGTGGAACGAAACGCGTCCTGGATTCCGCCACCCATCTTTACTTATAAAGCTCGACTTAAGACAATATCGAGGCAGTCCACACAGGATGCACACATGCCAACAGGAGACTGATCAATTGCAGTCCTACACAATGGGAATATACAAACAAACAATACCAAGTATATATATTCTGTGGAATTAATTTAAAAAATCCAAATTTATTCAGTCTGATCACCTAGCATCTTTACAGCCCAAATAGACGATAAAAACCGGAACATTCTAATAATCAATAAATGAAAGGAACCTAAGCCCAGAATAGATGACTTTATTTTTCAACCCGTTTGAAAGTCCAAGTAGTGAGAAACCTCAATTTTCTAGCGTAAATGTGAAAAATCATAGAGATGGGGTATTACATTAAATAAACACAAAATAACAAAAGTACAAATGTTAATAGATCATAAATTATTATTCTAGGTGATTTAAATTAGCAGAAGTTGTGGGAGAATCAGCTAATGCAGTATTATTAGAAAGTAAATCACTTTGATTAGCTTCGATTTCACCAGACATCTCACTAAAAGTAGGTACTGAACTTGTAACAGTGAAAATATTGTTAGACAATTCATTTGACTCGAGATTGTCTGAATCCCCAACAGTAGTTGTTAAGTCACCTAACGACTCTGTTCGTTCATGAGAGTTGATAGAATGGTTTAAGCTGGAAGCATCCTGACTATTCCGGACAGATAATGATGGTGTGGAAACTTGTAGCTGAATTTGACCTACAAGTTGATTATTAGAAACGAATTCACGGAATTCCCAATCACTAAGCAGGTTAGGTAATTCGTAATGATGGAAGAAATAAATCATTGAATGCAATATAAACAGCCAGGAAACCCAAAGAGCAACACCACTGAATTGCCCATTGAAACGATAATGGTAGGCATAAAATCCAAAATGATACAAGTAGAAGTACCTGATAAAATTTAAAAATTACAAATAAATGTAAGACAGAGCAACATATAGAAATTAACTCTTAAAAACAAAGTGAAAAAAAACTTAGTACTACACTGAATATATACCTTGAAGATTATTTAATTTTATTTAGGCTTTTATGAGAAGTGGAATTAAGTATATAAGTTATTAATAATCGCTAGTGTGAATATGTACAACTTGATACAATTTAGGACTGTTTCACTAGTTAAATACTCATGAATCTGATTATTATAAAAACTCCATAGTTCTAACCTGAACCAATAGTAGATTTACAGAATTTCCCTTAAATATTGTTTGAAGACAAACGGTAACTAGATGGTGAATTGGAGGGAGATTTATCAGAAACAATAAACAACAGTATGTTCATAAAAAAGATGGTGCGATCTTATTAACAATATATTTTCATACTCAGATCACGTTACAATGAAGGTCATTTACAAATAAATTCACCACCAGATTCTAAAACACAAGCGCAGCTATATATCTCGTAGATAAATAAGATATCATAAATTTTAGACGACGACAGGTTGATTTGGTGGGACTTTAGATCTAGTTAACCAGAAACGAAACGCATTTTTGTAGGGGGCTTCCTGAATGAAATAATACATGATTCAGTAATTTAAAAACCTAAAAATGAATAACTTGAATATTTCTTTCCAATCTTCATACATTACTTGACATCGTGAAAATACTACAAGTGACAGGAAGAATATAAAGATCCAGAAAATCAAAAACATATTTGCCATCTTTTAAGATGCAATGTATTGGCGACTTTTGTCTGTAATCATCACACTTCGCTTACTTCGCCAAAAGGGTTGTTTGTTTTTCAAGTAAATGGTCAGTGAATAATTAAAACAACAATTTAACCTTAATCAAATTTCACTTACGTATGGTGAACATTGCTGTTAAAAGATTTTCTCTTCTTTACGTTTCTAAGCTTAAAAAAGAACCGAATCTATCAGTCGTCATAAGTGATAAATTATGTTATTTTTCAATACCAAGACGAATCATTCGTAATACGCTGAACACGCATAAAATTATAGAGTGGGCCGAAAAGAAAAAAGTCGTCAACTTAATTGTTTAAATAGTTCTCAAAAACAAACGAAAGACTAATCTTCTTTTCTTTTCATTATGGAACGCGTTAGGTATACAACAACGGTTAAGTAGACTGAAAATGAGAGCGACGTAACATTATTCAAATATTAATAAAATTAAAGTCAGAAACCAAACGAAGCTGCCTATAGAACAAACGTTCAGCTGAGGATTATCTATAAGGCGCGGTATAATGGAAAAATTCACTAACCTTGGCCAATATCTTTTGCTTAATTCAGTACGACAAAATACAGCTTCATAGTGATCACAAACGCTTATAATGAGAATAACATAAAACGCAGTGATTGAATCTCCAAAAAATTCAGACATGATAGTTTCCATGGCTGGAAATTATAAACAATTGGTAGGCTTTGCGTTAGGATGGAAAACGGACTTGCTACATCACATTAAAGGTCAACAATAAATATTTATTAATATCATTACAAAATCGATCAGAAAGTACTTAAAGTAAATAATAAGTAAACGTTACACCACGAGAATGAATTATGACCATGATTAAAGTCATCAGCTAATCTAACTCTAGAATCCCAGGCACCCAAGAAATGAAAGAAACTAAGTATGTAAATATGAGTGACTGAAGACTAGAGCACTGGGAACAAAAGTATGTAAATCAATGTAAGTCAATAAAACACGATAAACATTTAGAGACTTTATTGCGACAAGCTGAGATGTTAATCACAAATAAATTTACAAGCCCAAATATGTAGAGTCAAAGGATAGCTAATTAGTAGACCGAAACATCTTTTTTTAACCGTAATACTGCATGGTTGTACTAATAAAGCAGATATAGCCTAATTATCTCATAAGAAAAATACAGCATATAGAAAAAGTTACCATATTCCACGTTCTAACCATTAACGAGTGGCAAACTTAATGAATCATGGATACCATTCATTTTTGAAGTACACTACAAACATAACTCACGATAACCTGAAAAGTTCATTGGTAAAAAACTGTATTAATCCGTAAAGGTGCCGATATTGTTATACTGATGATTCACACTGTTTTTTTCTGACCACACATGTTATTATCCAAAACATTTAAAAGCACTATTATTCAACAGAGTCACAACAGTTATACAGAAATATTATAAAAAAAGAATTTAAAGAACCATATATATAATGCATAACTTACCAACAAGAGCAAGAATCACTGTCATAAATGGGGCAACAGGAATCCCAAACGAGGTATTCGTTTCAAACATTTGGAGAATATCAGCTAGAACACAAATACCGGAAGATAAAATTAGTGGAAAAACATACCAAGTTGTCATTTGTGTACGTATCCACGAAATTTATCGAAACACCTTTATATTCATATGAAACACTGAGTAACGACTCAACTTACGAGTAAAAAATAGTATAGCTACTTAACAGAAGTTAATTTTTATTGATACAGACAACAAGCCTCTTAAAAATGGAAAGATGCTTTAACACAAAACACCTGAAGTTCCTCTTGACGACTGTTTTTAGACACTGAACACGCTTCTTATGAGTTACTTCGGTAAATATTCTGTTAATATTAGTAAAACATAGAGACAATATAACTAGGAACAGTCAAAACAACGACAATTTGTTTGTTATTTAGAATGGAAGTGAGCCAATTTACCATAAAATCTTTAATTTTCATTAAACCAGACTGGCAAAAAAATAGAGAAAAAAGTTAAAGGTATATTACTTTGCAATAATATACCTAAAAAATAAGTGCCCAATCAGATATACACATTCAAATATGTCGTTGTTTTTCATTTACTTCAGTATGATAGTCATGTAGTTTTTTTGCAGCTGTAGTTCACATATATTAAAATTAATTAGAGAACTAGTGTTTGCAAGGTAAGTTGTGAATAAACTTCTGACTCCAACTAAACCATACAAGAGTGATATACTAATTCAAATTAGTAACCCGAGTGATTTAACAGTAAATTACTTACCTATTACAACCACAAGCTGTTGACTTGAATATCTTAACAGAACGGATATACAAAATGTCTGCAAAAAATAATGCAAAGGGATGGATAAATATACAACTTAAAAAAGAAAAGTTACAAATTATAATGAAGAAATTCGCAGATGAAATATTTGTCTTCATAATGCAATTGATGCACCAGCTACCAGTTAGTTTTATACTGAGATGAAATAGGAAAGTGTAAATGCCACATGTGGCACAAAGAAACCTGAATAAAACCTCGCATTTTATGAAACAGTTCATGAAATCAAATAATCAGGTACCTAAAACCGCCTAGACAGGACAGAACACTTAACAAAAGCGAGATGCTGAATGGTTTGGAAATAAGATTATGCTGTTGGGGATACTCAATATCCCCCAAAACAAACTACGTGACTGGAAGTTCATTTGTTGACTGGCTGTCATACAAGTTAGCTGATATCAGAATTAGAGGCAACTAATTTATGTAGATAAAGAACTGCCTAGTGGGACGCCAGCATCGAGTACGAATGAACTCAAAGTTCTCTAGCTGGGAAACTGCACTTAACAGGGTATCCCAGGGTACAGTGCTGTTTATCCTTTGTGTAAATGACCTTCCCAGTCTCCTATCATCAGTCGTTTCGTTATATACTGACGACATGAAGAGCGATAAAAGGTAAAGGTAATAGTTTGGAGTTTCAAAACGACCTGGAGAAATGATCTGAATGGTATAGAATTTGGCATTTCCTGATAAGTGCTTTCAAGTGAATTGTGATGTATATCGGTCAACATGGTACCGATACATACACAGTGAATAACACTGAACTATCTGTTGTCCAGACACACAATGACTTAGGAGTCATTGTTAGCCAGGAGTTGGAAACTACGGCACACTGCCGTGCGGTAGCTGTCAAATGTTTTAGAACCCTATGGTCAATACGTAGAGCGTTTCGCCATGTCGATGCTAAAAGTCTTTGGACTTTATATACAGTATTCGTTCGTACTAACCTGGAGTACTGTGTACAAGCAGCTATTCACTGCCTAAAAAGAGACGGCGAACCATTGAAAAAATCCGAAGGATCGCAAATAAGCTGATTCTTGGGTTAGCAAGGTTCCCACATGGTGCTTGACTGGCTGAACTAAACTTATTTTCATTGTCATATAGAAGAACCAGAGGTGACGTGATCGCAGTTTTTTAACTGCTTAGTGATAAATTTGCATCCGATATGCCCTCAAATTTCTTATCTTCCAAATCAGAGACTTTATGAGGATACTCTAGAAATGTTCACGAGTCCAGTACAAATTACTTGTCAGCTGACTATTGACTCTCCCATAGAATTATCAAAGAATGGAATTCACTAATTTAACACGTGATTGGAGCTTCATCTGTCGACGCTTTCGAAAGAAAGTCGATCCAAATAAGAGACCACCATTGCCATGACTAAGACAAGCCACCTAGCCTCTTATCCTTTCCAAACTAAAGCTGAAACTGAACTGAATGAACCAGTGCTATCGTGTGATAAGACTACAGCCTATTGGACACTTGCTAAGAACTGCTTACGTACCGAAATAACAAAAAAATGGGTTCAAAGAAATCAACTGGTGTATAAGTTCGTAACAAAGATTTAATTATTTGGATTAGGGGATCCTTGTGAATGGATCGCGCTTCTTTGAAGTGCTCCGCTTCTGGTCGTTGACTGTGGTACTTTACACTTTTGTGCCTTAGTTCTGCATTCATATTTATTCCCAAATAGATGCTTCTAAAGTTTTAGGTCTTAGCTCACGCATTCATTATTTGTCCACTCACACTCAAGATACAAGTATAATGCATTTGGATCCAATTGCATTGTGAACTGGAGCTCACATATCCATATGGAAGTGGGTGGTCTTCTGACAAGCAAACCGTATATGTGTCTATACGACTCATTCTCCTATATTCATTGCTGGAGAGCTGAGTTATATAATCCCTCATATTATTGTAACTCCACAGCATTGATTGGCTTGTTTTGGTGATAATATAGTTGCTGAAAATTAGAAATTCACTGCCTCAGTGGATCATGTAGGAATGTACAAACTTGATTCGCATTCGCAAGACAATTCTTATACTTTTGGAGACTATGATTTACCTCGCAATCGACAACAAAGGTATAATCGTATTCATCCTTTAACTTCTCGTAAGCCTCGAAAACGACATCATTATATTCGTTCCACTCCCCCAGTATTATGCACTATTTAATGTTTTTATAGTTTCCCCCTACTATCATTACTTGCCTTTTTAAACCTTACTTATTGATTATATACATCTCACTGTGATGATGTAGTGTCGCAACTTAATTTTAGTTCTTTTATGCTGTGTTTCACATTGTATTACTTCTGTCGGCACTGAGGAAAGTAACTTCAATCGTTTACGATATCAGTATTCACTCAGCCAGAAAGTTATAGATGATGTACCAATCATAGTGCCATATCTCTTATCAACACAGTAAGTGGGAATTAACAAGACTACAAACTAAGCGTGAAAGATACGATCCAAATGAAATCAAAGCATGGGAAGTACAATGTGACACCCTAGTCTCTTTAATGAACATTAACAGTTGTCCGCTGTTTGTGTCAGACTAGGTGTTTAGCTAGTTAAATCATAAATACACATTGGTCCCACTTCCATCTTTGAGGTGAGAGTTTAGAGAACTCGTTTTGTTGCAATGTGTTTAAATTTAGTAATGTGTGGCAGTACACGTCATCGCATGAGAACAATCATGATCCAAAAATGTGCTCCGGAAATAGAAACAGTTCTTTGTGAAACGTTTCTGACGATTAGTGGTTGTGATATCTATCATCAACTGTGTCCCTCGTTAGGGCTAGATTTCGTCAGATCAAATATTTTTTAATGTTCAAATTAGTACTTAATGACCATAGACAACTCATTGAACATAACTGCTATAAAAGAATACCTTTGTCTATTTATTGAAGTGAAGTGAAAATGCCTCAACCAAGAGCGTTCCTATTTCATTTATTTTATCTGCCTGGAAGTTGAAATAACATGCTACATTAAGTAGGCTAAAGTGACGAAATGTTTGGAGGAAGAGTAGTGAAATTTCGATAGGACTCATACTTAAGTTTAGTCGAAGGAAAGTCTGTGGTGATTAAGGAAAAAGTACGAAAGGTCAATGGTTCGTAACCTACTTTCTCCAGTTCTTACAGTTTAATTTAGTCAAATAGCACACCAGTGACTGTTGGTTGGAAACCACGAGTGCTCATTCTGCTTTCTGACTTAATCATAAGCCTGCGTCAACAATACTATGGGTCAAACGAATCTCTAGATTAGGTGAACAAAACTTTTATGTGTGTTCAGGAGATATGGTGTAAATGTACGTCACTGGATCCTTCAATCTTAACTAATGAAATCTATTGTCTGCGGTTATAAATTTAGATGCTTCAAGATGTGGAATAAAGTACGGTCTGATAAAACTGTGGATGACATCCCGTAGGCTCAAAGAATTAGCATAGATTAAAAAAGAGGGGAGATGATGTAACAGAAGCGTTCATAGTGAAAGTGGAATATTATTTCAGGAACCAAATGCTGTTGGAGATATATTGGTGAATAACATTTTCGATACTGTGAGTAACTTTTCTGGAGAACTTGAAACGGAGACGAAATTAGTGCCAAAATTAAAAAACACTGAGACTTGACCAAACGACAGGTGCCTGAATTCAGTCACACACTTCTACATGAGTAATTATTTTCGCATTATTGGCTTGATACTTTCCGAAACTGGAAATATGCATGAAAAGAGGAGTGAATTATTCAATGTTTCTAGTCAATGTTTCCTAGTTCGTCATTTTATATGACAGAACAGTAGAGACATCAGTTAACCCTACAAAATCTTATGAAAGACAACTACCTGTCATGAACTAATATTGTGAGTGACGTCTATCATCAGTGACGGAGACTTGTTGATGGAAGTTCAGAAGTCACTGGAGCTGCTCAATTTCCAAAAGTTAAACACGATTTCGTATTCCCACGAGTGTTCGGTGTCATACCACATTTAGGAATGTAGAATTAAAAGCACAATAAGTCAGTCAATGTTGTCAGTATATTACGTTTCTTCGTTTTTTGTTTACATTTATTATTTATTGTTTGATTAATCGACTACTTTGATTTTGTAGCTAAATTAATGCAGGATTTCGAAGAATCTCGAAACATTTTATCGCCCAGGGAGCTGAAATTTCGCTAACTGGTTGTAATGAGAAAATAATACAGAGTTAAAGGTTTTACTAAATTTGAACAAAACGTTCAAAAGTAATTCGTGCAATTTGGTGTAATACATTACCAGAACAGCTAAAAACAGTTAAACTCTGCTAGAAATAGGAAGATTGATGATCGAGAATCTAGATAAAGCCCATAATTTCCCCATTTTTAACTAGTCATTATATTACTAAAGTGGTAACGAAAATAAGAATACTGAAACAATGTAAACAATTAACAATTAATTGTAGCCCATGAGGTTACTAATTCCTATATTCCGCAACTACTTTCATCTCGAAAATTACTTAAAATGTACAGAATATCTGAAACAGGAGTGAAAACCGTTAACAGAAAACTTACAAATAGTAACATGATCAGAGCAGCAGCAAAGTAGGACGACCTAGACATCTGCGAAATAACGAGCTTATAATGTTGTCCGCTCATTACATTTACCACATAACCTTTCAATCCTTCGCTAGCTGATAAGTACTTCACACTACCAATCAAAAGGTCTTCATAACCGAGAAACTCTTCCATGAGGAAACGACTGAGTTTACTGCCGAAGCAAGGGTTTGTTTCTGGGTCTACAATTTAGCAATATGTATATTTGATTACGTAAACCTAATGGTAGAAAAATATTACTTCCGCACAGAAATTTGAAAGAAAAAATCTCAATAACTAATCCTAGTAAGCTCTATTACTTGCGACTATAAAAACTTAGCAAGTCCTGCAGAAAGAGACTGGAACGATTCAGCAGGAACAGTACACCAAGATTTCATAAGCAAATAATATTAACAACCAAGTATTTCATCATACGAAATAAAGGTCAGCACTAAACACGAATGAAAATTAAATAGGGCATCCTTAAAGTTCTGTGAACGACATTCACGTTTACACTGGCATTTCTGAATGGTAATTACTAACATCAAACATATTAGACAGATGACGCAATGAGTTACTAATCTCTAGTCAACAATCTGATACGAAAGTGTCAAAACTACTTTCAGGAAAACACTAACACTGAATGAGAAATTTTTACGGTAAGTGAACGAACGTTGGATAATGTGCAGGATGATGATATGAAAAGTTTGTAAGTAACTCATTTTGCTGCTGGACTTAATTTGAAACTCCATTTTGTTAATATCAATTCTTGTTTTTCTCCACATTGGAAATTCGTGCACTATGCGACCATAACGCTGTAAAAAATTTACATTTTTGGTTCATTATTTTATAGAACTTTATTTTTGCAGTAATAAATTCAACCGCTTACACATGGAATTACTATATCTTCCGATTTGAGTTGAGGACACGGACAATGTAGAAACAAAACTGCCCTCTAGTTTATCTTAGCCTCACTCAGGGAATTATATACGAGGAAATTTACGTAACAAAAAAGAACGTAAATAAAGGGAAAAAAACAAAGAACAAGACACCAATAAGATAATTTCGAAACACGTTTTACTAAGTAGTACAGAAAGATAATTACAAGAAACAAACAGAATAAAAACTTAATATTACGTCATTTTATCACCAGATGAAATCAACTGTTACGTTGTGATCTAAACATCTTTATCAAGAATTTGAAAAGTATTATTTAAAATTTTAATGAATAACATTTGATCAATCATGGACTTTGAAAAAGGATTCCCTTCTCATTACCAGACGTTATACAGTTCAGTACTGATGTTAGTGGATGTTACTGCTAACTAATTTTTATTTAACTTGAACGGTGTAACAGAGAATAACATTAATATTGTTCAGGCTCTTTACTAGAACACTTCTGGTCGTGACAGACCTTATGGCAAACTATCATCGAAATTGTTTACTTCAAGTGCTGTTCGTCAGAGTTGTCCGTTCTCTTCACTTTTATTTAACTTTGTCATAGACATGCTTTTAGAGATGACACTCGTCGTCTAACTTTTGAGGGGTTGATCTACCACGAGATTCATTTGTTGACTCAAGTTGATATAATTCTGTTTGGTAAAGACGCTAGCAAAATACAGTCATTTGACCATCTTAAGCAACAATGCAAGCACGTTTGGTATGCGGTTCTCTCCCTCCGAATTTATAATTTTACCTCAGGATTGGCTTGCGTCATCGCTTGAATCGATGATAAGGAGTGAAGAAGTTGGACGCATCGACCGCTCCACTTATATTGGGAGACTCATCAGTACTGACGGTATCGCGTCTGACGAAATTTCGGCACAAATTTAGGAGGCTCGATAGACTTTTGTCAACTTGCATCATTTGCGGCGTAAATGAGATGATCATCTGCCAACCAAAGGTTTCATTATTTATTCATTTATGTGAACACATAAATATTGGTACGCTATAGTCTGATCGATGTTGCACGTGCAGCAGGCCAGTTGAACTACCCCTCAAAAAACTCTGACTATCGTCCAAGACGTCGTTTGATGTTAGCGAGTGGCATCCGGTCATCTTCACAGATTGTTTCGCTCACACCAAATTTCTTGCTACCAGTGGCTCGGATGAGTTAGAAGAGCTTCCGGTAATTACCAGATGCAGCTGCTGCTTCCAGCTCATTAGCATGCTTCGACCACCAGGCTTCTCGGTTCTTCCGCAAGATTTGCCCGATTTCCTTACGTAACATCTTTCGTTTGTGGTCAAACTCACGGTCACCCGGAGTGAACCGATGGGCTTCGATGAGTTACAAGAAGCCTGAAGAAACCTAGTGCTTACAAGCGGGACGTTTCGCGAAACCGCAAGGGGCTTTACTGGCCACTTTCATAGCGTCATGCAATTGCATCCAATGCTCATCTATACTTTTCGGTGGAATGGTAGCTAGCCTAGCAGCTAGCTCGGTTCGATACTTAGTAGCAACAGAAGTTGAAACCAGCTTGCTAACATCAATCCGTTGGTAGCGGTCACTTCGTTGTCCACTGAAAAGTAAGGTAACATTGGCGCAGACCAAGGCATGGTCAGAGTCCGGATAGGTACTCCAAAACGAGCGGCAGTCTTGTACACAACCACGCCAGCGGTAGCTGATCGCGATGTGATCAATCTGACTGCAGGCTTGAGATAGAGGGGGGACGCCAGGTGGCACGTCGGCGATGACTGTGCCGAAAGTTAGTGCTTGCCAGAAACAGGTTGTGGTCTGTGCACAGTTGCAGTAGACGGTCCCCGTTATCTGTCCTGCGACTAACAAGTCCCCATCGGCCACCTAAGCGACTCTCTTTTGTGCCTAGACGCCCAACCTGAGCATTCAAGTCTCCAGCTAGTACTACAATATCTGTCGAACACACTTTCTGGAGAAGAACAGATAACTGGTGGTAAAACTCATCCTTGATTGCATTTGGGCTGCAATCTGTCGGAGCATAGGCGGAGATGACGAAGAGACATCGTTTCTCACGCCGATTTCTTCTCAGTTTGATGGAACTTTCTAATCTAACAGCACATAACCGACTGTTAATGGGGATCCAGTAGATTAGTGCTGCCTCAGCTCTAGCGCTCAGTGCGACACCAACGCCAGCAAAACTGGACGAAGATGCCACAGGGTCCCCGGATAAACGCACATATAACAAGCTTATCGAAGCGACAGACGAAGAGCATATTTGTAGTACTTCGCTAGAGTCTTGAATACGGGTTTCGGATAGACAACAGACGTCGATATTAAGACTTTCCAAAGACATAGCCAACCCTATCTGTTGTCCGATCTGCTTAGGGTGCAAACGTTGAAGGCAGCCAGTTTGAATGGTATACGTGATTTCATAAAAACTGCTTCAGTATTCGTATTTGGTGGTAGCATACAATTTTCAACCAGGCAGTGACTCGAGAACGTTTAGATAGAACCGAGTTTCCACTATAAGCGAGCTGCTGTATAAGTCGGAAAATAAGGATACATAAAGCGGAAATAAAAGAGAGTAGATAAGTGACGTGGTACATAAAAGAAAGCAAAATAAAAATGAATGTGAATTGTCTGTCGAGGCGAGGATAGAATTTCCAGTAATTTACTGTGCAGCAGTTCACTCTGTTCTACTTTATGTGTATGGAACATAAACATCAATAATAGAGAATATTCGTAGACCACTAGTATTCGATCACAGGTGTCTTCGAAGCAGTCCGCTTGTATTTTGAGATCACCAAGTGAGCGATGCTAGGATTGGAAACACAATACTTGGTAAGGATGGAGAGTCGATTGGTGAGATAGTAAATCTTAAACAAGCGGTTGGGACGTGTCACGTATGCACAACCACAACCTACCTCAACGGGCGATTTTGTACGGTGTGAGTACACTGGAGGAAAGTTAGGGACGGACAAACCAAAAACACCGCACTAATTCATGAAGACATCGACGACTGGACTGAGCCGTTTTGTCTTCCCCCAAATTCTGAGCTTCTGAATCCCTCATAATTTCTCTTTTCTGTAGTTATCAAACTAATTTATGTTTTCTTGAACTGTATTTTTGATACCTACTATTTGCAGTCACCATTCACACTGTTACTACCTCTACAACTCTTAGATTTGGCCTGACAACTTCATCTCTCTGTGCCGATGGGGTATGGCAAATTGAACTGATGTACATAAGTACAAGTTTTACGTTGTGACTGATTGAATGTTAACTTTTTCAGTGTATCTCAATAAAACGGACATAAGACGATTACAGGAAAGTTAAACATACCAAGAACAATTAATTTTACAGTTACGTTAAGCCGATTTCGGGCCCGCGGTGAGAGACGAAGAAAGCCATACTCCAAGGCGTATTCAATTATGTAGCTCTCATTTGTGTTTAGTGCTGTAAAAGTATTAAAATTTCCGAAAATTGTATGGCTGCTACGAAATTTAGGTGGGAAAAATTTGTTAGGGAAGGTAAAAATGATGGTGTTTTGTAGAACTTAATGAGTTTATTGTATTGCGTTGCTTTCTACATAAGTACATACACAAGCTCATAAGTTTAGTTAATTCAAAATCTGACTAAATATTAAAGTTCGAAATTCATATCATTGGAAGCCAACAAGCTGGTCAAATGGATAAGATGTGGTTCCATGATCCCAAGGTTCTGAGTTGGACCTTTAGCGGGGTTAGGAATGTGCACTTCTGGAAGGTCTCATACTAAGATAAAATGGTTGCCTAGTGTTCCCAGGTTTTGAATGTTATTCTAACTAAGGTCAATCTATGATGACTTTGACCTACAAATGTTAAAATATTCAGGAATAAACTGAACCGAATAAAACCGAAATGTAACGAGATACGATGGATTCATGGTATCTTGAAAACACTAGTAGAAATAAAAAGCATGACAGATATTTCCATGTTACTTGTCTTAAAGCTTATAAAATACTGCATCTCACAATAGCTTCTGTAGTAGGATTATAAACAAACTACTATGTGCTTATACCAGATAAGAGAGAATGAATTAGTTGAATGATTCCAACTAGTTTAATTGGTAAGAAAGAACTTAGGCTTTTAGCGAATCAATTAAGCAGTTACATATACAAACAAATTGCACATTTATTTATTTTATCGCGATCATGTCAATATTGTTGGACAAGAATGTGTCTTAATAGGCACGTCTTTATTCATTGCTGAGTGAGTAACCTACAAAATTCTTATTCTGAGATTCCTTAGAATATGAAATCATTTTGACTTTCCTGCTTAATGTTTCATACATAATTATGTTAGTTTACTCGAGAAAAAAGCCTACTCTTTACAGTTATTGATCTTGCTTTGATTTCAGTTTATAAAATGGTTTGTGTTAATAATTCGGTCTCGCATACAATTACCACTCAATCGAATCGTTTCATTGCTTTTTATGTACTTATCAGAACCGTATTTAATTCAAGAATTTGAAACCTGTTTATAACCAAAAATCTAAAAACTCATTATCCATAGTAGTCACATCTAGTTTTCTTTAGAATTATGAATACAAGCTAAAATTTACTTTACTATTAGTCAAAAATATTGAATCCATCATTATAGAATCCATTATTACAGGGCCTGACAAGTGTGGTATTAATTATGTATAAATAATTTGCTGATATCATACTGCGAAAATCAAGAAAAACAAGTGCAAGCAAGTTGACATTGAAAAAACAGTCTAGGTTCCGTTAGGATCTTAGGTACATTGAATGACTCCTCAACCTTTTCTGAATCCGTAAACGCTACCACATGTGTTGCTAGCTAACAAGATTTTTTATTTCGTCATACCAGAGCTGTTTAAAGTCTGTCGAACAACCGAGCACCTTAACATTTGCTGTCGTACAACCAACACTTTAGAACGTTTTGTCATGCAAAGACATTTTGTGGACCGAAAACTAAAGGTCTGTTACACTGTTGTGCTTGTTTGTTAATAATTTATTCAGAAAACTAGATAACTCGTAGTGCTTTAGAGGGCAATCCACTTAAATATTTACCAGTGCATTACAATGCGAAATCCGCCCCGCCCATTTTTATTTATTTAGTTGGTTATGACTCACACAGCAACATCTGCGTATGCTAAGTAGGGTATCTTTATTAATAGGAATTGAACCCAATCACGATACCAAGAATCCATTCACTCTTCAATATCTAAATCATTCGTTTCTTGTTACTCTTGTCTACTTTCGTTTCTTAACTCATATACTTCTTGTACATTTCAACATTTTTTCCTTAGTTATCAGAAATATAGTATACAGAGTTCTGAGTAGACCGATTGGATGATGAACAACAAAGTAGAGGAATATTCTGCACTACGATCAAAGTAGTGAGCACATAAGTGTTTACTGACAGAAATTAGAGTGGTCAAATTCCAAGCACAGTAATGTGTGTAAGGAATTAACTCATTCTAACATCAGCATTGCATGAGTTTTGTGTGAAGTACGTTATTTTTTCAAGACAAACAAACTACTATTAAGACTAAATCACTTAAAAAAGGAAAGATCTTTTAAATTTAGTGGTGTCGTCTCTAAGATCTGGTGGGGTACCTAAATTATTTCTGCAAGAATCGTTTGTGTCAAATAAAATAAAACAAAAAAATGTACTTACCAGGACCTGACGAGGCATATATACGAATAGGAATGTCGTAAATAAAATCAACGATACCAGCAAAGAAGTCGAATAATAACCGGTTCACTTCAGGCAACAACTGACTGAGTTTATTCCTGGTGGTTATAATTGCGTTATATGGAGACATATTTTCCTCATTCTCTTTAAAAGAGAATGTTCGCTCTCGATTACTAGCGTATAAATAATTTAAAAAGTGGTTGAAATTTTCTTTGATCGACCCATATGCAATGAATGGCAAAGATAAAAGTGAATTCCGGAAATCCTGATGTTCGGGGATGATATTCTCGGCAAAATAAGCTAGTGAATACTTTGAATTTTCGGGAATATAGGCAATATGTTTATCCAACTCGTTAACCTGTGGTGTCTTTTCATTTTTGGCTTCAAAACGATAATCAGTTTCAGTACCGTAAAACTCTTTCGCATATGAGTCTTCGAGAGAATAGAACGGATCAGGAGAACGGATGACTTCGATACGTAAAACACCATAGTTAGGCCATGAACGTCGTAAAAAAGAATCTGATCCATTACCTTTTGACAAATAATTGGCATCCATAGTTATGGAGGTAAAAGATACACCTGAACCAGACTTTATGCTTTCAAATTCACTACGCAAATGATCCAAGCACGTTACTGGAGATTTTACAAATGTTACGTGAAGATGTATGAATACAACTAGTACGAAAACAGCCTGAAAAATAATTAAGCCAATACAATTTAAAATGTATAAAAAATGTTAGCAATTTAGTTACATTGGATATACTTATTCAATTAATTCTTAGCTAAACGAATGGTAGGGGTGAAATGCATTGTGCACACTAAATAGACTATTTTTATTCCCATTTGGTGGAAAAGAAAAAAACACATGCACCTGTACCATTGCAAGCGGTTTTGAGTCATGCCATCTAAAGTATTCAACCATTGGCAACGATAATCACGCGGAACCCAACCAGGTAGTCTATGCATCTATTAACATCCAATCATCGATGACTTGATGAATTGATGCCATGTTTTGATTTGGTGGAACGCATACTACAGAAATAGACGAATTTCCAGTCCCATATATTTTACTATGAAACTGCAGCGTTAACTTCTAATACTGCTGGTTATGAAATCTATTGAACAGTCAGTCAGTGACTGATTAATTAAGGATTACTAAATAACGATTTCTATCTATATAAACACTTCAACGTCCATACATATAGTTCCTTAAAGTATTTCAGAAGGATGGTCGTTTGGTATGGAAACCTATAGGAAATGAACTGATATTAATCCATAGTATAGTGACAACGCAAAGCAGATTATCAGATAAGGAAGAATTAGAAGTGACATTTTTGTAATACTGTATAGATCTGCCATTTTATTGTTCAAAACATTAGCGCCTTAAGTATAAACAGCAAGATGTAGACTAAGATGCTTATCTTCAACTTAACAAGTTATCCTAATGAGTCTTTTTTATTTGTGTTTGCTTCTTAATCCCCCAGGACGTATTGAGTTTTAATTCAAATTTATAAAAACAAGTTGAAGACAAGCAAAACGAGTACATACTATTCGCACACTACTTATGTTGCTGTAATAACCGAACGAATTGTTTACAATTCTTTGTTTGCTTTCGCTAAAATGTAGAAGAACATTAAAACAATGGCCCAATGTTGTGATAGACTGAAGAATTCTTCCCATAGTATAGCTGATTGTCTAAACTATTATTCGACCTAACCAATAAAATCAAATTAATCTGACTCTGCAACCTACAATGTAAGGGTCAACTATAATAGATTATATGTTGAGAAACACAATTAATGCTAAAAGAGACAGCAATCCAAAAATCAATTTTTCCGGTTTAAATTTACATCGAATAATAAACGCGATCTTACTGCACATGCTTAATCACTTCTATTTGTGTAAAAAGTATGGACTCCTCTTGCGATTTCGATGCAAGAATGATCAAACATCCTGACTAATCCATTTTCAATTAGTCAGCACTAATAAACGACGCCATTTGCCAGTTTTCTGCGTAACATGCGTGAATAATCGTGTTTATAGACTTGTATCTTTGTTCTGGCATTTGCCTTTGGAATGTATCGTGTTGTGTTATATCGAGTGGCTCAAAATGAATTAGTTGGAGAGCAAAACCAATGTTTTCGGTCATCGGAATTAATTACTTCGAGTGACAGTCGTCAGGATTGTGCGCTTTCTCCATTTGTATTTAAATTAGTTATAGGCATGCATTTAGAGACAGCGCTCATTGTCTAATTTTTCAGTTGATCTTCTACCAGGAGACTCACTTGCTGGGACGTGTCACGTATGCACAACCACAACCTACCTCAACGGGCGATTTTGTACGGTGTGAGTACACTGGAGGAAAGTTAGGGACGGACAAACCAAAAACACCGCACTAATTCATGAAGACATCGACGACTGGACTGAGCCGTTTTGTCTTCCCCCAAATTCTGAGCTTCTGAATCCCTCATAATTTCTCTTTTCTGTAGTTATCAAACTAATTTATGTTTTCTTGAACTGTATTTTTGATACCTACTATTTGCAGTCACCATTCACACTGTTACTACCTCTACAACTCTTAGATTTGGCCTGACATCTTCATCTCTCTGTGCCGATGGGGTATGGCAACTTGAACTGATGTACATAAGTACAAGTTTTACATTGTGACTGACTGACTAACTAGCCAAATTTGATTGTACTACTCTTACTTGATTTTTTAACAATAATATCTCTTTATATGTGTAGCTCACACGTGTTTTTGTGTCCAGTTGTACTAGAATATACACCTCTAATTAGTTGGTATGATTGTCAGAATTCAGGCAATCGCATTACATATTTCAGCCTAGATCCACCTATCACAGGTTTGACCTTTAAGTGCTCCATCTAAGGTTTATAAATGGATTTTGGGTCCCATAATGTTATAGTAATTTATGCAGTTAAAAATTTGTTACCTGTACCAGAAACCCGAATTCGATGATGCGACGAGCAGTCAAAGGAAACACACGAATGTAACCAAGTGCAACTCGTCGAAAGAATACTTCAAATAAGTGAGCACGCGTATTTAGGACATTAGTTCTCAGAGAAATACGAGGTAGTTGGTTTACAGGCCTGCTGAATCCATTGAGAATAACCATAAGAGCAGAATGAATTTGATTTGGTTGGATACTACAATTCAGCCTACAAAACCATGTTAGTACGGCAGATAAATGACAAATCATAGTGAGAACAGACATTATCAAATGAAGTGATTTATGAATTTGGTAAAAATCAAATTACAAAACGATGGACACTTCAGGGAAAATCTCACTTCTCAAACTGAAAAGTGAAGTAACAGCTGAAGATGACGTTTGTTTAGCTTTAGCCAACTAGAGCCAATATTGAGGCAGACTCTTTTGTTTGTTAGAATGATAATATACAGTCTTTAAACCCGGAATTTGCTGTTCCACTACCGATGAACATAGTTTTTGAAGCTAGGATATATTTGTACATTGAAAGTAGTCGATTGTAAGGATTTTCGGACTATTCATGCAGTATGATGGAATCACAGAGTTAATAATATTGACGTTAGGTGTGGGATTTAATTTAACATTGATAAAGCTATGAATCTAAGTCGTTTTATGTGGGTGCGGCATTTTACATAAACTTATCTAGAGGCCGTATTATTCAGCAGTGCTAGCTTGTTTATGAACGAACCAAAAGCTATGGAAAAGCAAATGAATATATTGACGACGTTATTAACTTTAATGTATACAGAACTCAACTATAGGCAGATATCACAACCATTAATCGTCAGAAACGTTTCACAAAGAACTGTTTCTATTTCCGGAGCACATTTTTGGATCATGATTGTTCTCATGCGATGACGTGTACTGCCACACATTACTAAATTTAAACACATTGCAACAAAACGAGTTCTCTAAACTCTCACCTCAAAGATGGAAGTGGGACCAATGTGTATTTATGATTTAACTAGCTAAACACCTAGTCTGACACAAACAGCGGACAACTGTTAATGTTCATTAAAGAGACTAGGGTGTCACATTGTACTTCCCATGCTTTGATTTCATTTGGATCGTATCTTTCACGCTTAGTTTGTAGTCTTGTTAATTCCCACTTACTGTGTTGATAAGAGATATGGCACTATGATTGGTACATCATCTATAACTTTCTGGCTGAGTGAATACTGATATCGTAAACGATTGAAGTTACTTTCCTCAGTGCCGACAGAAGTAATACAATGTGAAACACAGCATAAAAGAACTAAAATTAAGTTGCGACACTACATCATCACAGTGAGATGTATATAATCAATAAGTAAGGTTTAAAAAGGCAAGTAATGATAGTAGGGGGAAACTATAAAAACATTAAATAGTGCATAATACTGGGGGAGTGGAACGAATATAATGATGTCGTTTTCGAGGCTTACGAGAAGTTAAAGGATGAATACGATTATACCTTTGTTGTCGATTGCGAGGTAAATCATAGTCTCCAAAAGTATAAGAATTGTCTTGCGAATGCGAATCAAGTTTGTACATTCCTACATGATCCACTGAGGCAGTGAATTTCTAATTTTCAGCAACTATATTATCACCAAAACAAGCCAATCAATGCTGTGGAGTTACAATAATATGAGGGATTATATAACTCAGCTCTCCAGCAATGAATATAGGAGAATGAGTCGTATAGACACATATACGGTTTGCTTGTCAGAAGACCACCCACTTCCATATGGATATGTGAGCTCCAGTTCACAATGCAATTGGATCCAAATGCATTATACTTGTATCTTGAGTGTGAGTGGACAAATAATGAATGCGTGAGCTAAGACCTAAAACTTTAGAAGCATCTATTTGGGAATAAATATGAATGCAGAACTAAGGCACAAAAGTGTAAAGTACCACAGTCAACGACCAGAAGCGGAGCACTTCAAAGAAGCGCGATCCATTCACAAGGATCCCCTAATCCAAATAATTAAATCTTTGTTACGAACTTATACACCAGTTGATTTCTTTGAACCCATTTTTTTGTTATTTCGGTACGTAAGCAGTTCTTAGCAAGTGTCCAATAGGCTGTAGTCTTATCACACGATAGCACTGGTTCATTCAGTTCAGTTTCAGCTTTAGTTTGGAAAGGATAAGAGGCTAGGTGGCTTGTCTTAGTCATGGCAATGGTGGTCTCTTATTTGGATCGACTTTCTTTCGAAAGCGTCGACAGATGAAGCTCCAATCACGTGTTAAATTAGTGAATTCCATTCTTTGATAATTCTATGGGAGAGTCAATAGTCAGCTGACAAGTAATTTGTACTGGACTCGTGAACATTTCTAGAGTATCCTCATAAAGTCTCTGATTTGGAAGATAAGAAATTTGAGGGCATATCGGATGCAAATTTATCACTAAGCAGTTAAAAAACTGCGATCACGTCACCTCTGGTTCTTCTATATGACAATGAAAATAAGTTTAGTTCAGCCAGTCAAGCACCATGTGGGAACCTTGCTAACCCAAGAATCAGCTTATTTGCGATCCTTCGGATTTTTTCAATGGTTCGCCGTCTCTTTTTAGGCAGTGAATAGCTGCTTGTACACAGTACTCCAGGTTAGTACGAACGAATACTGTATATAAAGTCCAAAGACTTTTAGCATCGACATGGCGAAACGCTCTACGTATTGACCATAGGGTTCTAAAACATTTGACAGCTACCGCACGGCAGTGTGCCGTAGTTTCCAACTCCTGGCTAACAATGACTCCTAAGTCATTGTGTGTCTGGACAACAGATAGTTCAGTGTTATTCACTGTGTATGTATCGGTACCATGTTGACCGATATACATCACAATTCACTTGAAAGCACTTATCAGGAAATGCCAAATTCTATACCATTCAGATCATTTCTCCAGGTCGTTTTGAAACTCCAAACTATTACCTTTACCTTTTATCGCTCTTCATGTCGTCAGTATATAACGAAACGACTGATGATAGGAGACTGGGAAGGTCATTTACACAAAGGATAAACAGCACTGTACCCTGGGATACCCTGTTAAGTGCAGTTTCCCAGCTAGAGAACTTTGAGTTCATTCGTACTCGATGCTGGCGTCCCACTAGGCAGTTCTTTATCTACATAAATTAGTTGCCTCTAATTCTGATATCAGCTAACTTGTATGACAGCCAGTCAACAAATGAACTTCCAGTCACGTAGTTTGTTTTGGGGGATATTGAGTATCCCCAACAGCATAATCTTATTTCCAAACCATTCAGCATCTCGCTTTTGTTAAGTGTTCTGTCCTGTCTAGGCGGTTTTAGGTACCTGATTATTTGATTTCATGAACTGTTTCATAAAATGCGAGGTTTTATTCAGGTTTCTTTGTGCCACATGTGGCATTTACACTTTCCTATTTCATCTCAGTATAAAACTAACTGGTAGCTGGTGCATCAATTGCATTATGAAGACAAATATTTCATCTGCGAATTTCTTCATTATAATTTGTAACTTTTCTTTTTTAAGTTGTATATTTATCCATCCCTTTGCATTATTTTTTGCAGACATTTTGTATATCCGTTCTGTTAAGATATTCAAGTCAACAGCTTGTGGTTGTAATAGGTAAGTAATTTACTGTTAAATCACTCGGGTTACTAATTTGAATTAGTATATCACTCTTGTATGGTTTAGTTGGAGTCAGAAGTTTATTCACAACTTACCTTGCAAACACTAGTTCTCTAATTAATTTTAATATATGTGAACTACAGCTGCAAAAAAACTACATGACTATCATACTGAAGTAAATGAAAAACAACGACATATTTGAATGTGTATATCTGATTGGGCACTTATTTTTTAGGTATATTATTGCAAAGTAATATACCTTTAACTTTTTTCTCTGTATTTTTTTGCCAGTCTGGTTTAATGAAAGTATATTCTTTAACGACATCTTCCGAACGATGTTTTCTGAAATCTCAACGACCACGCTGGTTTGGTTTACAGGTCAGTATTTCTCTGCGTTACAGATAGACTAATACTTATGCTCAGGTATTCGTGACGAAATCTGCTAATTCCTTTGATCGCCCAATATAAATATCATCCGGTCACATGGATTTGCACATATCAAGCTTATTTGGCAGACTAAAGACATCGAGTTTGAAGATGCAACAAACATTCGGAGTTTGATAACGCTTTATCGAGTAACGCCTCCTAATATAACTCGTACCCACCAAAAGAAATCAAAAGACAGAATCGAGGAGATCGGAAGACATACTTGATGACTATCAATATATCGGGAATCGTCTGATCTAGCCTGGCTGTCGATTACAGTAGATTTTGAGCACGGCGTTCCCATTTGTGATCTGGTGCTGATGCATAACCGAGCGCCTTCAGCTAGGTGAGTCCATTAAATCTAATGTGGTCAATATCCAATGTCAAAAACTTACAGAGCTATCCATTTCGGGTATTTATTTAACGCTACAGATCACACACTACTTAGTGGGGTAGTGATGACACTAAAACCTGGTCAGCCAGAAGTTTAAACCCAACAAGTATTGTCGTTGCTAAACACTCTTCCGATAGCTTACTAGATTTAACAGCGTCTGATCGTCTTTCCTTACTATAAGGGACCATGAAATGCGATATTGTGAGAAAATAATGTACAATGAAAATTTTGGTTCCTCGTAAACCCCATCGTTCTTTTTATCGTCTTTTCCAGCTGTCCTGGAAAAGAAAACAAGAAAATGTTAGTGCATGTCCAGATAAATTCGTACGCGCATTAAGACACAAAATTGGCGAAATAAGGAAAATGGCGTAAAATCGAATTTTACATAATGTTTTTTTAGAATACATTTTTAATATACATATTGGCAAAATAATAAATATATATGAATATAAGCATATAAAAATTGATTTTCTTAAATATTATATATAATGCTATGAAAAATCGAGATGAAGCAAAATCTTAACTGATGTCTTACGTGCTCTAGTTGCTTGAATGTTCTGGAAATCTTACTCTTCTTCCATAATGCGTTGTTTAAGGTTATTTTCTGATACTGCCGAAATATCATCGTGTGTGTTGGCTGTTGAATGAAGTATTATAAGTGTAGGAGTCGTGTCGTGCGATTGTATCGAAGGAAAGTCGATATGAATATGATTGCCTTCTAAATACGCTAGTTTGAGGCAATCGATGCTGATGCTATCGTTTTTTCCGTAATTATCGACTATATAGTTTGCGTTGAACAACTTTGAGAGGTCCTTCGTATGCGTTCATCGATGCGAGTCTCGACGTGTGTATTATATTCCCGGAAGTCGAAGTGTCGTTCCATAAACGAGTTGAGCCTCAGTGTATCCAATGTCAGCTTTCACTGCATTGTGGATACTTAGTAAGACGAGTGGAAGAGCGTCAGTCCATTGTGAAACGTTTGCAGCTGATAGCGAAGCTTTCAGTTGTCGGTGAAAACGTTCTGCTACCTGTTTGCTTGTGGGTGGTAGGCAGTCGTTCGGAAACGAGTGATTCCTAAAAGTGTGGTCAGACAACGGAAAAGTTCGGATTCGAACTGACGTCCGCGGTCTGTGGTGATGGTTGAAGGGCAGTCGAAGTTTGCTACCCATCGTTCGAAAAAGGCGCGGGCCACTGTTTTGGCAGTGATGTCCTTGATAGGTACTGCTTCTGGCCATCGAGTGAAACGGTCTACGCAGGTTAAGAGATAAGAGTATCCATTTGAATCTGGTAAAGGTCCTACCAAATCCAGATGAACATGATCGAAACGAGCATCGGAAGTTTTAAATGAGCCTAAGAGACATTTATTATGTCTGATAACCTTAGATTTTTGGCAGCTTACACAGGAGCGTGCCCACTCCCTCACGTCTTTATTCGTACCAGGCCAGCAAAACCGTTCTGCAATGAGCTTGATGGTTGCACGAACACCTGGATGAGAAAGTTTGTGCAACGTATTGAAGACGTTGCGTCGATAACGTTTCGGCACGATTGGGCAATCCCTACCTGTAGATGTGTCACAAAGTAAGGTTTCCTTACCTGTTTTCATCTGTTTGATGAATAGCTTGTGTGTTGTAGACGATAACTCGTGCTGAAGATCAGTGTCTTCTTTTTGAAGCTGGGCGAGTTTCAGAAAATCGATTCCTTGGAAACTGTTCAAGGAAGTTATTCGAGACAAGAGATGTGTTGAATATCTGAAGTAAATTGCGAAATGTAGTCCAGTTGTCGAGACCCATATAGTCTGAAGAGGAGCTTAGAGCGAAAGTAAGTGGTTTATGGTCAGTGAAAAGGGTAAATTCACGGCTTTAGATACAGTGTTGAAAATGCCGTACAGTACAATACGTATCTAGGAGTTCCCTACCGAATGTGCTGTACCTCGATTCAGTGTCTAGCAACCCAGTGAAATCGGAAGTGAATAGATTCAAAGATATATTTTATAGATTATCGAGAAGAGTTTTATGTAAGTTGAATAGTTACTGTAAGAGATGTGCAGCACGGAGTACCCACTCGTAACCGGGTGCGGATGCATGAACGGGTGCCTTCAGCTAGATGAGTCCAGTAAAAC